CCTCGGCGCTCGCAGAGAGCTCTGTAACGCTCTCTCTTTGCCTCTGTCAGGACGGAGGAGCAGCTAGGACGAGCTGGAACTACCCACGGAGTAGCTGTAGAAGTTTGGGAATCGTAACTTTAAAACAGGAAAATGAGACAGAGGAAAATCTTGTTGAGCTGCTTTAAATTCTGTGTGCACAGTTCTTTACCTGCTTAAAATGTCTAGCTAAATCTTGTATTTCCTTACGCTGGTGTTTTCCCTGTTTTGCCCCAGGGCTGACTGATGTAACCAGCTGCTGCCTTTTTATTGTGAGGAGTTTTCTTTTGTCCTGCCGCCTTACATAGAGACTCTGAGATCTCTCTTAATTTTTGCTGTGGCTTTTGTTTGATTTTGATCCCCTGCTGTAATTCAACAGTATTCTTTTTGATGGTGTTGAATCTACATAGCCAAAGAGAGCCACAAGTAGCCCTTAAAAATCTGGTGCTAATGTGAATTGCAGGAATGCTGTCTGTGTTCAGGGAAAATAAAAGTAATTGAACTGGAAGAGCCAATGGAATTACTGCATCAGTGTAGTTTATATAAACAACTAAGAATACCACAGAGCTCAGTGGCATAGTGGTAAAGCTGTCTGCACCCAGTGCTGGCACCTGCCCCAATGCTAAGCACATGAGGTGTGGAGTTTTCATGTGGTAGACCTGTCCTCCCAGCAGAAGCGAAGAAAAAAATATGGAAAAGAGCACTTAATAACTTCAATGAAAGTTTTTCTACCAGGATGAAAATTGATGCAGACTTAAAAGTGAGTTGTTACCTTATAACTTAATCTGTGAACTATAGAATAATGTAATTGTAGTTTGAGGCGACTTTTTAAGCTATGATTACTCTTGATCTTATGATCAAAATTACTTATTCCTAAACATTAGATACTTCATGAACCCGCCGCATGTATTATTTTTCCTTTGGAGAAATGTATAGCTAAGTATAAGAAAGCACAGAAGTGACATAGAACAACAGATACACCATTGACCAGTTTTTCACAATGCTTATCAAAAGATGGTGGTTCTTTTAGGTGTCATCCTGTACGAACGTGACAAAAGATCATACTTCTAATAGGTGTCGGGTGATGTCAGCTGGGTACTACTTCTTCCTTGCAATTGCAGAGCTGGAGATACGCATGACTGGGCCTCTGCTTCTCTCCATCAGTGGCTCATCCGCAGTCGCACCTACCGATCTTGTTTGACTGCTGGCAACGCAAGTTGTGTAAAAGGCAGTGCTGACAGACCTGATGTCATCAAATGATGACATAGGCTTTTTTTACAGTGAATACAGTTTTCTTGCACTGGGCAGGATCCTTGTCCAAAGACACATTCCTTTGAACTGAATATGCTAATCCAGCTTGCCTCATAAATGAGCTGCTTCAAGGAGTTTCTACAGTTGTCAGCCAGCTAGTCTAAAAGGCATCTGTGTGTTGGGAGGTGGTGTGAGGAGTCTCAGTAATGAATAAAATACTGTCTGCTATTAGACTAGACCAGCTTTCATTTAAAAAAAAAAAAAAAAAGACCCAGCAACTTTATCTGTGGAGGCTGTATCCCTTCATAAATGACTTTATTGATACAAGGAAATCTGTAATTGGTCAAAAAGTGCTTTCCTCAGCAGGACTAAATGTAAGGACGTTAATTTCAAAGGATGTTGTCTGTGAACTCCAGCTGGCGCTCTGGCGGTGAAATAATAAGGTTAAACAAAATAACCCAAAACATTGAAGAGAACCAACTAAATATTTGTTTTTCTTCATTCTGGATAGACTCTTTAATGGAGACTGTCTAAAGAGAATTGTTAATCTGTAGACCAAAACAACTTTTTTATACAGAACAGACACTGAATTGTACTTCAGTGTTTTTGTATAAAATTCAGCACGATGACCGCCAGAACACAAGACAGAATGCCATTTGTTCCCCTGGGAGATGTTCTAACAAACTCCAGCAAGAACAGCCTTAATGTCATCACCACTGCTTGTATTGGCTTCTCTGCGCCCTTAAAGAGATCTCTCCTTTCGCTACCTGCACTGCTCAGATTTCTGGTACTCTGTTTGCTTACAGCAATGATTGACCTATTTCCATTAGCCTGGCTAATCATTAGTTGACTTAAAATTGACACCTCTTTCTGCTCTAGTGGCGGGAGCTTTTTGTTATGGTCTGGTGATGTTTTCCTTTGTGTTGTCTTCCCTTGCTGAGGCTGTTTGAAGAGCTCACCAATGTTCTCCTGCTCCCTTTTTATATTTAAGGTACATCTTTTGAACAGAAGTCTTGCTTTATTGCTACAGTTTTACCGTTCTTCCTCCGCTTTAACGCATGCATTGACAACCTGTTCAAAATGGCCTTTAAGAAGCCGTAGGCCTGACAGCCGTGGCTAATGGCCTGACACTGGTAGATGGTGTGGATGTTCAGCAGAGAAACCATTCTTCAGGTGCTTAAGCTCGGATGTGTTAGTACTTTCTGTATGCCATATCCTGGAGCTCTCTTGAGTAGGAAAATACACCTGAGTATGACTTTGAGGTGGAGTATTTCCATTGAGAATTAAAGCCAGACCACAACTCATTCCTTAATCTTGAAATTAAATTAAATTTCAAGAAGGATTTACAGGGGGGGAGGGAAGTTTAGTTTTTTAATTTGTCATGCCTTGACTTTATTGACTTACTCAAGCTTGGCTGAGATGCTAATAATGACACTGTGCCTTGGCCATCAGTAACGTCCTTTTTGTGCAGTTCACTTGCACAGCCGGCATGGAGTCCTTCTGTTGCATTGCTAAACTAGATTTTGTGTGTGTGTGTGCTGCTTGTGACAGCTGTTATCACACTGCTGCAAGCCTCTCCTTTCTTATTTTTTTAACTACTAATCAGACTGGTTTTCATTGACAGTTAATCTGAATGTATGTTTGGTGCTCTGAGCAATACTGTTGTCCAGGAACATTCTTCTTTAAAAAAAACCAAACAAAACTTGACTTACCTGTTGTGTGGAGGGGTTTAAAAAAACCTCTTTTTGCACAGAACTGTACCCATGCTTTGTGCAGATTGTGATTCTTTCTAATTGTGATTCTGAACATTTTGCAGAACTGAGATAGTTGGATGACACTACACTTTCACCAGAAGTCTATCTGGCAGATCAAGGAACATCACTAGGCTGAGGGCAGCAAACTCAGTCATTCTCTCCCTGCAAGTGGACAGTGGTAGAAGGATGCTGGGGTTTCTTCCAGGATGTCTGCCCTGCTTTCACCCCTCTGATCATTTGTTTCTCTTTTTGCCATTTGGCACCTGGCAAAGCTTAAGGTCTTTTCCCATTGAGTGGCATTGTGCTGCCTCCTTAGAAGGGTATTTATTTCTTCATCCTTAAAGACTATCCCATTGAAACTTATATTTAACAAACAGGCTGCTGCTTTCAAGAGGCAGCTAGGAGACCTCTTCCAAGTCAGAGGCAGAGAAAAGGAGTTACTTTGAGGACTGTAACTGGGAAGCTGCTGGAGTTGCTATTGTTCAGCCAGTTGCAGCACCCCTCTCCTGGTGCCCTCTGATATATCCATGTTAGGAAGATAATCCAAATGTAATTTGAAGCTTGCCCTATAGCTAAGACAGATACTTCTGCCCCTCCTGCTGGTGGTAGCTCTGCTAACAACCGATTCCTTATTTATAACTTTGACAATACCCACATTTTACATGAGTGATTTTAAATGATTTTCATCTTGCTGTGCTGAAGAGTCGAGAGTACTGTCACATTCCCCCATCTATGCATTCATTTGGCACCAGGAATGAGGCACTTAAAACAAGTATAGAATGCGTGAAGCTGCAACAGAATAAACTATTTGGATATAAGGTCCAGAACTATTCTTGCAGAACAGCTGTACAGCTCTTTAACTTAGCCCTTTTTTTTTTGGGGTGGGGAGACAGATCCTGCAAAATCATTTGATTGAGTAATATTAACAACTGCTTTTAGGTTCTGGTCTGTCTAGTAAATAACACACTGGGGTTCTGCACATGTGGCAGCATTTTATGACTTATGGAACTAGATCCTCTCTGACACTGGTTATTTAGTATTCTTTTAAGTAAAATGGAATTTACATAAAATCATTACACTTCATAACCAGTGGATACCAGCTTGGAGTTGTTTGCATAGCTCTGCATTTTTGTTTGTCATTGCTGAGGGGAGGGGGACAAGCTCCAAAAGACAAACTCCACAGCCTCCAGTGTTTGAGCAAATCCAATTGCTTTGACTGGATTTGTTCATGTGCAGCTGCTGTGTTCAATGGAAAGGCTGTGTCAGGAGAGACTGCCTCTGTGGATTGAGGTCCTTGGTCATTATCTGCATGCCAACAAGGTCTAAAACCTTCTCAAGCCCACGTATCTCATCTGTGTCTCCTTCTATGTTGTCTGAAAACAAACCAGTTTTCAGCTTTTCACCTCCAGGGACAGCCAGTTCTTCTGTGGAAATAATACGTGATAAACCCCGCTTCCTCTGTTACAGAAGTGGAGGCTTTCTGTTTGCATTGCTGACTCTTCATGTGTCCTATTGTTTGAGCAGCTAATTTTTCATTCTTTGTTTTTTGGATTACCCATTTTGCCATTCGTAGCTTCAGCACTGTGACAGAGATTTATTCCCATATTAGAGGACTAATTTGGAGAAACAGCATGGTTAGGGGGCAGACCCTATCAGCCTTCGTGCGGTTTATTTCTCCAGTGATTTTTCAACAGAATATATTTTAAGTTCTGCTTGTTTTGGCTTAGAAGGATTGTGCTTTTCTTGCTTTTATTGTTATAAAGCCCCAGAGCCTGGCAAGCCAAAAGAGTCCAGAAGAGATAGACAGTACTGCCTTAGGCCAAAGTCTGTTGGATTCCTGCTCGCTTTGACAGGTGGCTGTTGCTTGTGATACAGCTCTGTTTGTGTACATTACAGTGAAAGGAAAGAAGGGGTGTTCAGAAGGAAGAATGGGCAACACCTGAGGGAGGAGAAATGAGGCTGATTGGTTAGTGCCACCTGTCCTGATGCTGAGCCTGGAGAAATCCCGTGTAATGTAGTTACTTCCCTTAATTCCTAGAGTTAGAAGCCCACTTCCCCATGGCTCTTCTACAGGCAGAGCAAGAGGCTTGCTTCACTCTTGTTTTCCCAGCGATGGCAGGGAGATCCTAGGGTGACTAGGCTATTGTGCGGTTCCTGAGCCTCTGCGGAGTTCTGAGTTGAACGTGGATTCTGCTTCTCTGTTTTGCAGATCCACGCTGCGTGTTCTTCAGTGTTACAAAAGGCTGAAAATGCTCCTTGGTAGGAAATACTAATTGTATCTGGAGGGTTGTGTTAGGATTGGGTCAGCTTTCGGCCTGAAAATGCCTTTCAGCAATAGCTTTTCCCTGAAGTCATTATGCGTTGGTATGTGGTTTCATGTAGTCTATTGGTGGTGTTTTACAGAGTTACCTTAAATCTCAGCATGTCTTCTGTAATGAAACTGGAATTTTTGATTTGGAAGAAGTTGCACTTGGAACAGTTGTCATTAAGAAAACAATCAGTGGCAGAAATCATTACCAGCTGTGTCCTTAATGTATCAGAGTAACACCTGGTTAACTAATTCTTTGTTAGAAACTCCCTAATGTTAACTGATATATTTAGTTACCTACAGATGTAGTAGTCTGTAAAATTTTTATATAGGTGCTGTCCTTCAAAATTTTTCTTTAAATATTTGCCAGTTCACTACAGAATGTCAGAGCCCACCACATCCTGTGCTGAAAGAGTTAATAGTCATTTTCCAAACAATCTCTGACAACATGATGGCCTTAAAGAAGCCCCTGGCATACACAGCATCCAGGTGGAATTTTATTTTTCTTTCAACCTGTGAACAGGCCAAGAGGGAAATGCACTGCAGAGAACTCAATAACTAGCTTGTAAGTTGAGTTTTCCTTGTAGCTTATATAAATTCCATCCAGACTTTTAATGAAACTGCTTATTACTCTGCTTTGAGAGAGGCTGGTGCATCTTGGGTCCTGCTGTTTGATATGTTTGCCACTTTTCACAAAAGCAGCTACTTCTGACAACAGCTTGTAATTTAACAATATTCTTGATTACAGATGGCCACTGCACGAAACCCTTTGCAGCATGAATGGAGCTGCACATTAAGGGTAATGTCTGGTAACACAGCAGCTTGTGAATGAGTATTTTTCTCCCTTATTTTCCAGTGCCTGCACATAAGTACCATTGTACTAATGGAGCAAAAAGCGCTAGTCTCATTCTCCATCTCAGCAGTGTCTTGCCTCCCAATATCGGGAGGGTCTAAATGCTGTTAGGATGACGTTGTTTTGTCTGCCGTGATTAGGTCAAATATGTGTGAGATTTGTTCTCCTTCTGCTAAAGGAATCTGCTAGATATTTTTATCCTTGAGAGGCCACGTGTTCAGTTTTGCTCTAGTTAAGCACAAGTATGTCAGAAATAGTTATTTCTTCTGCTTAGAAGGGAGGATTTTGCCTTGTTCTGATGGATAGATTTTTACCCTTTCTCAGCACAGGTATACAGTCATAATCCTATTTCTTCATAGTCTGTTATGTTTATATAGCTGCAGCTAAGGTGATGTGTGTGAAGAGGGTGGAGGGAAGGTGGAAATGGATGTGATTTTTAGGTAGCTAAAAGCTGTTATTCAAATGAGGGATGTACAATCTTGTGAATCTGCTGTCAGTATGGAGCCGGCTCCAAGGTAAAGCGAGCACCTCCTTGACTGTTAAAGTCTGCCTGGGTTTAAAAAAATGTTTCTTTCTTGCTTTTCTGCACCCTATTTCAGCAGAGGGAGTGAACTGTTCTGTAACAAACTGAGTGCTCTGCTGCTTTTTTTACCTTCACTTCTAGCAATGTTTCTTGGCCATCCTTGTTGGATTTACTATGGAGGACTAAACAGCAAACTGCATCAGTGGCAAGGAGGCAGTTGTTGTGGAGAGAAAGCACACATCTCCATTTGAAGGTGCTTCCTCTCAAATCCTTCCAGTGCAACTTGCCCTGTTAATGGATGAGTTGCTAGTCTTACCTTCTATGAAAACTCCTTCTCCTTAAGTCTGTATGGTTCATTCATTGATCGGGTGTGGTTGCCGAGGTGTGACGTTTCCAGGTCTCTAGAGAAACTGCTTAGGTATCAGTGCGAGGAACCATTTCGGGATTGCTAACAAGATTGTTTTCTCAAAATGTTCTAGTTCCTCCGAGTTAGGAAAAGGTAAGGAAACATAAGTTGCTTCATTTTGGGATGACTTCACGTACAGGAGGCATAATCAGCTGATGTGACATAATCTTGAGTTGAAAAAGCTGCTGCTTGTTGAACAGAGGCAGCAACTGACCTTGAGGGGCTGCCCTCAGTTTGGGCATTTTTCTCTCTGTTTCTCACAGCTGAGTGGGTGAGAAGTCTGTCTTTAAGCTCTGTAGTTTTAATTCTCTTGTTTCCTGTTAACAGGGTCACCTTGTCCTCCACGGACTGTTACATCGTGCACGAGATCTACAATGGAGAGAATGCTCAGGACCAGTTTGAGTATGAGCTGGAGCAGGCCCTGGAAGCGCAGTACAAATACATAGTGATAGAGCCCACCCGCATTGGGGATGAGACGGCCCGCTGGATCACTGTCGGGAACTGCCTGCACAAGACCGCCGTGTTAGCGGGCACCACCTGTCTCTTCACCCCTCTGGCACTTCCAGTAGATTATTCTCACTACATCTCCCTGCCTGCTGGTGTGCTGAGCGTGGCTTGCTGCACCCTTTATGGTATCTCTTGGCAATTTGATCCCTGTTGCAAGTACCAAGTAGAGTACGATGCCTATAAACTTTCCCGCCTGCCCCTGCATACGCTCACCTCCTCCACTCCGGTGGTGCTGGTGAGGAAGGACGACCTGCACAGAAAGAGACTGCACAACACGATAGCACTCGCTGCCCTGGTGTACTGTGTAAAGAAGATCTATGAACTCTATGCTGTATGACTTCAGCAGGGAAGAGAGAAACCCACAAAGACAAGTGTATTAAGACTCCCACAGTAACATTTTGTTTTTCCTGTTTGAGAAGCAGTGGAGACTGGGAAGGATTTGGTTTAATAGAGCTGTTATTTTTAAAATAACACATCACTGGTGCACCAAGGTTTTTCAGTTCTTCATTACACTTAAGATGTGGATGTGTGGTGACTTGAGAGCTGTATGTTAGGCCATGGGAGTCCAATCCAGCAGCGGAATGTCGATGAAAGGAAGCTATAGAAAGAGGGGGTGTGAGAGCTTCTTTTTTTTTTTTTTTAATAGCTGGGTGGGAAATCACTGCCAATTCAACAGAAGCTATTACATGGCAATTAAAAGATCAGACTGGGCATTTTTTTTTCCCCCCCCCTTTTTTTTTTTTTTTTTTTTTTTTTTTTTTTGGAAACATTTAAGTATATTGTTTAATTGTATTACACAGAACCAGCCAGAATTATCATTGACCATTAAAGGATGAGAATTTCAAATGCTTTTGCTCTCTTGTTACTGTTACCATAGTTCCCTTTTATAGTGTGCTTCCAGGGAAAGGAGGCTTTGCTATGAGAACTCCAGTGATGGTAATTATTTATGCGTGCTCACACACAGACCTGATATTCCTCTTGTCCATTGCACATGGCAGCAGTGTCCATGTTACTTCACACCAGCCATCTGTTGAGGGAATAGCTGTAGGGTGTTGCTTTCCCTCTTGCTTTACTAGTTGTATTTGTTTGAAGAGGGCTTACTTGTTACCCCAGTGTTTGTATCTTTTTGGTAATTGCTTAAACATTGATGGTTGGGGCTAAAGGTGTCCAAATCTGCTGCTGTGCTGCCACTTCCAACCATTAGTTCTCTGCACAGTGTAGGTAACACTAAGTTTCCAGCACAAACACATTCTTCTCAGTTCCTGTACATTCCTGGACTGTTCTTCTCAGTTCCTTTCTAATGTGGATCCATCTCCACTGAAATGCGTTGTACCGGGTGCAGCTGAGGGCTGCCGAGGTGGGAGTCCAGCTGTCTTACCTTTGCGCTTTGTTACTGCTGCTGGCGTGCGGACGGCTGTGCCCTGACTATGCAATTCCACTGCTCTTGCTTGCAACACGCGCTTCTGCAGCTGCCTGCTGCCGCTGCTGCAAGGCATCCACCCCATTGTATCTTGTAACTGTGTTACCTGAAATTTTAGAATTCAGTCTTGTGTAGTAATTCATCTTTCAGCTCAAAACTGTCAAAATCTTGTTATTAGAATGGGAAGTCTTTACTATTTTGCAAGATCTGCCAGTTACTTTTAAAAGATAGGGGCTTGCTTTCTATAATCTCCTCCTACCAGATGGCAAACAGGCGTGGTTTGCATTTACAAGGCCAGCTTGGCACAGCCTCAAGTGTTACGATCTGAATACAGGAGCAAAGCCCTGCAATAAAAACCTGCCTGTGCACAGGTGTACCGCTTGCTTCAGTGGTAGTTGCAGTCTGACCTCCACAGCTGAAGCACTGACCTTGGAAGGGAGTCTCATGAGGTCAGAAACCAAATTCAGTAGTTCTATCTTTATCTTTCCAAATTGCAACAGCGGGCACCAAGAACTCCTCCTCTCCTCCAGACTGCAGCAGGCTTTTCTGGCCACGGTTCCAACTTGTCCTTTTCTGCTGATGCAGCTTTTGTGTTAGCGGGGTGCGCATCCCAGTCGTGTGCGTGCTGGGCAAACGGGGTTTGCTGGGAGTTCTCAGCAAGTATTTACCACACGCACAGGCTGGAGGGAACTCCGGTGGCATCGAGGCGTTTCTAGGTGGCAACAACCCTTTGCCTCTTTTGCTGGTACAGTGGCTGAGTTGTCTCCCTCCAAGGTTAAAAGAAGCTGGGATCCAGAGCGTCTCTATTTATAGCAACAATGTACAGTTGCCTTGGCAGAGAGGAGGGGAAGAAATGCAACTACTTCATCCTGCTGCGGTTAGGCCAAGACTGCTGGGCATTTTGCCTTTCGAGTCCTGATATTGTTTCTAAAGTCCTGTCTGCGGGATGAATTTTAAACTAGTGGCAGATCTGCCATAGCTAATACGTACTTGATTGCTGCAGAAGGCCCGGAAATATCCTCGTGCTAGCAGCACAAAAGACATTC